TGACTCTGACCCAATTGGCATAGATTGTCTCCTGATGTAGAATGACAGCTCTTGTGTAGCCAAGTTGGCAAAGAAACTTCATCAACTGTATTTCATTCATCGGGCAGCCAGTGCTATGCGCAAAACATCCTTCATCATCTGCCACATCACTGTGACAGAATAAATAATGGTATGTTGCTGCCTCTGGATCTGCCCCTGACTTGATGCAGAAAAACTTGTTGTGTGGGTGGCAATCAAACGCAATGACATGGTGGCCCCATCGTTTCAGCTCTTCTTGCACGCTGTCACTGTTGATTTTTCCTTCCAGCTCAATGCAGGTGGGGAAGGGTTCCTGAATATCTCCTGCGATGAGTGTTGTAGCCCGAGGGGCCTCATCGCTGCTGTCTGGCATTTCTTCTGTGATCGAAAGCTGTTCACGTGGCCCATGGGTGTGAGCCACCTGCCCATGTGTTTGGCGCTCACGTGATCTGGTGACGATCATGTCTAACTGCAGCAAGACTGGCCCTTGTGGTAGGTTTGGTCTCAAGTGGACAAGGATTCCCATACCGCTCCTACCCATCCAGGGTTGACCTGGTCGTAATTGATTGTTTTCATACCAGACTTCACAATGATGCGATGCTGTGGGGTGTAGGCATCTGTCTGCCAATCCCAAGCCTGTCACAATGTGGTCCATGTAGATATGTTCATGTGTGGTACCTGCAACCTGTTGTTGAGGTCCGCGCAGTGAGGTCGGTCCATCATGTAGATACACAGTCATCAAATTGGTGACTAGAGTTTCATGTGGATTCTGCACAATCAGAATATGGCCAGCAACGTCATTGGCAAGGTCGGGCGGAGCCGGCTGGATCAGGAAGAGTTCATGTTCTTCATGTGGAACTAAAAGTTCACGCCAGGAATTTTTGATCAATTGTTCCCAAGTCGTGTAATCCTCAAAGAGTCGGACCTTCCTAGGTTCAATGCATTGTAGTCGTTCTCGATCGTGATCGACGAACCACACTTCAAACTGGATAGATCGCTCTTCTTCTTGACATTGATCGATTTTTTCTGCCCATGCATCGAAGACATCTTGTACAAATTCACTTTGCATCTGGATGATGGGTCTCCCTGGTCGAAATACTGGCGCACTTGGGTCCAAGCCAGTAGGCGCTCTGCCAGTGCGATCGCTGGTCCATGTGCTGTGCCTCTGCTGCATCAAATTCAGTGCCTCCTCCTCTGCCGTGTCCCACGCTGTAGTGGTCATGTATGTGACGTCTTGCAGGATGAGGAGGAAGGATATGCCATGATGTGTGGCGAGTCGATGTTCTTCTCGCAATTCTTGCTCTCCGTGCCATGCCATACATTGCAGCTCTGAAATTGCCGGATAGCAAACTTCATTCTTGTCAACCACATCTATCAATTCAGCCTTGCTGGTGATCGTGTGCAGGAAGTGTGCTGAGTGTTGTAGCCCTTGTTCCGGATTGCGGGTGTCCAGAACAGTGAGAACCGCAGCACGCGCACCTTCCGGCGATCTTTGCAGCAAAATGATGTGTGGCAAATGTTCTGGTTGCATTCTTGTGGCAGGCGGCTGTGGAAAAACAATGTAGAAGTTGACAAAAACTCCTTCTTCCAATAAGTCTGTCCAAGCCCGCAAGAATTGTTGATGCCATAGAGCAAAATTCTGCGTTAAACGCACTGTTCTTGATGCTCTGCATTGGCTCTGCATTGGATGATTGAGTAACCATGTGGTGACATAGAGGACTGGACCTTCTTCTTCCATCTCGATGCCGCCATGTTCTTCCAGTTGCTCTACCAAATGATGGATGTGTTCCGGTTGTTCATCTAGTCCAGGCTGTGGCAAGATTCCACCTGGTACTGGTCGATCCAAAGCACTGGCATAGTCTCTGGTGATTTCGCCAATGTCCTCTTCCGCATGATCTGCAGGTATCAGACCATCAATTTGGCATTCACTGGTCTTGCTTAGAAACCATGGTCTTGCAGGTAGAGGAGGCATCTTGGTTGTCATCTGCAGGAGCATGAACTCATCGTCATCTGGTCGAAGTGGCACAAGAGGAGGATCAATGATTGTGTCGTACCATCCCATTGTAAACAAGGCATGACGATCACAGAGCTCGGTCATGGTGACCCCCTGATGACATGCCGTAGCAATACATCTGGTGCCAATGTGCCGTGCTTCACTGTCATTGGGTGGAACTGCGATTCTCATGTACATGCCATGCTCAACATCAATGGGTCGAACACTGTGATGTGAAATGATAACTCCATCACTCCAGATGATGCAGGATTGCCGTGTGGTACGGCAATAAGCTGCCAGTCCCAGTCGATGTAGTAGTGCAAGTCTCCCAATCTGTCTTGGCAAGCGCACGACTCTACGTACAACTTCCGGCTGTATGGTTGGTACTGCTGCATGAAATTCAACATCAAGTAACACCAGTTGAAGTGTCGACCCTTGCATCAGATCACCATGCTTATGTCCAATCAACGCTACAACTCCTGCATCTTCCAGATCTTGTGGTGTGCATCTGACATGATGAAGGTAGTAGAGTTCATGAGGACTCACTTCCAAGGCGTGTGCTGCTTGTCTGTGCATGTCTTCTTGATTGTTCCAGTCGATTCGAAGTGGAACTGGTGGAAAATCAAGCGCAAAAATAAGAGAAGCAAACCAATCACCTTCACGGTCTCGATATGTTCCCTCACTGACTGAACCCTCATAGTCAGAATTTTCTGCTGCTTCTTCCACTTCAACTTCGACTGTTGTCATTTCATGGTCTGGAGCTGGAAGGTCGGCAGGGTCAATCGCTACCTCCTCACGCTCAAGCAAACCAATTTGATGTGTTGGTGGTTCATAGCCAAACTGATTCCTTCTGTCTGTGTTGCCCATGGACATGAAAGATGATTCGTCTGTGAGAGGATAATCAAGAGGACAAAACAGTTTTGTGTCACTGACAGGGAGCCCACATGGAAAACGCCATCTCTGAAGAGAAAGTGCATGCTCTTCTCCCACATAGAGCTCTGCAATGGCATTGAACTTCACATGCGCTCGTTGTCTGCCGCGTCTGCCTGATGATTTTCCTCCCCTCAGTTCACTCAGTGAAAATACTGGTTCATCTGTGATGTCAAAGGCAAGGTCGAGGGCCTGTATACTGGCCTTCCATTCATTGATAAAGTTGGGCTCCTCCAAGATCGAATGCGTCCATTGATGAACCACATAATCTTCTTGTCGGAAATGCCCTTGTTCAAGCCCTAGGCAAACCTCCTTCCTTTGGTCTATTTGCCGGGCGCTGGAAAAGGCGTAAGCGCAGACGCCCCAAATCCAGGAGTGCTTGCTTCTCCTCCTTCTTGGGTGCGTTGCTTTTTGTGGACGTGCTCGGACTGGTCGATGTTTGGCTTCATTCTGAGAGTCTCCAAGTTCTCTACCATCATGCTGATGTTTGCTTGTATCTCTTCTGATGTTGCCATCTTCTCCATCACCTTGTCCATGCCTTCGTCCTCCATGTCTGAGATTTCTTCCACCTTGTCTCCAGTTTGATCTTGACGATCGTTGTCTTCCTTCGCTGTGTCGTACTTCTTCTTTGCCTCTAAGAGTGCTTCTTGTGCCTCTGTGACTTTCTGCTCGAGCTCTGCATCCTTTTTGGCAAAATCGGTCGCAAAGGTCTGCCATCTTTTGATGGACTCCTCCACATACTGCGTCCATGATTTGTGCAACTTTGCCCTCGCATTCTGTGCTTGCTGAAGTGACTTCCTCTTCTTCTCCAGCTTGTCGAAGGTCTGTCGCACTGTTTTCGCTGTCGCGGGTGGAGGTTCGATGGGTCTCTTTGCCTTCTCGATGACCGTCTGAATCTCGTCCGATAGGGGTTTGTCCGAAGATTCCAAGACTTGCACCAACTCCGTCAGGAGTGAGGCTTCGGCTCCTCCTGCACTGGAAGTCGCTGCTTCTGCGTGATGCTGCATGGAACTCGCTGTCGCTTGCCACGGCGGGTCCAGTGCAGGTGCACCATAATTGTCCTGCTGCTTGTTCTTCTTCTGTTTGGACGCTTTTGTTCTTTTCCTTGGTGAAGGAGATGGATAGCCTGCCGCTGGATCTGTCCGTCTTCGCGGAGAGTACCCATAGCTGTCCCAATCCTCCTTCTGCCACTTCTTGCGTGATGTCGATCTGTTCGATTCCTGTGTATAGTTTTTCTGTCCATGCACGTAGTGGATATCGATGCACTTGTTCCACACTGTATAGCATGAGCCACACTGTGCAGTTGAATGCTTGTTCAATCTTTTGCACCAAACGCATCTCCAGGGTTCCCTTGATGTCATAGCCATTGTTCTCGCAATCTTGCGTAAAAAGGCTGGGTCCTTGGAATGATGTTGGCTCAATTGTCGATGAATGCTCGCAATCTGTCTGCTCTCGAGATGAATCCACCCACGCTGATGGAGGTGCCACTGCAAACGGGCTCTTGCCCGTTGCCGGCGCTGTCTTCTCCTCAATGTTGGGGTAATCCTTGATGAAAAGGAGGATAACCAACACAAACACAGAGAGATAGTTCATAAACCGTCTCGCAATTCAATGTGAGGCCAATCTGCAGGAAAAGTCAACCACAGAGAAAACCAAAACCAGAAAAGCGATGTTGAGGCCAAACCCGGGTTTTTTACGTTGCCGGGACAACAGATCTGCAAAGGTGATATTAGGTAGGCCACACCTAATAGAGCACAGCAAAAGTGCGTAGTTCCAGGGTTCCACCAGTTCAGAACAAACGCCAGATGCTTCGAAGGCAAAACGATATTGCCCGGGGGCTGGTGGTCACAAAAGCCCCCTAAAGTTGAGGATACAAACACGTGGGGTCCCTACCTCTCACCTGATGATCCAAAACCTTGTATCAATGTATATATATATAATACAAGTGTGTACATAGTTGTAGAATGTTGTAGATATAGTATGTTTATGTATTTTTATGTATATAGAAATTTTCTTCATCAATATGAAAAGTGAACTTCTCCATTCTTTACCATGCATCTTCAGATCCCACAGCTTCATCGGGTCATCTTTGGAAGCGCAGAGCGCAAGGCGTCGATCAAAATCCACATCCATGGCATCCTCGGTCGAGGTCCAAAGCACGAGGATCGCTACGATGTTTTCTTTGGAACCTGTATGTCTTTATATGTTGCTGTATATTACTATATATTACTATATGTTATGTTCATTGTATTGTATGCTATTATATGTTATCGTATATCATATGCTGTTATATATTATGGACTGTTATGGGAGAACAATACCAGACTTGCAAATAAAATACCAGATGTCAAGCATACTCCTTGGATACAACTGGCTGAACTGTGCCCGTCTGTCGAGCAACGCATCTCTCCTGGTGTGGAAGCTTCCAGATTGCCTTGCCATTCCGCAGGTCGTAGTGGTTCAGGTGGCCTTGTGCCAAGCGCTTCAAAGGAATGGAGGATCGATGAAACAAGTACGGCTCTTGCAACCACTTGATCAAGCTCTGAGAACAGTTCCCACACTCCAAAAGGACATATATTCTTACTATTTCTTACTCTGAGTTACTAATATTTCCTAATCATAAGTTGTTTGGTTCCCATTAGTAAATATTAGTAAATATCATTTCCCATCTGTGATTAGTAAATATTAGTAAATTTTAATCATGGGTTTTTATAATCATCTTGTGATTTGGTTCCCATTTCTCCATCTGCTAAGACCTGGACAATCCATGGAGGCCGACAGCGCCAAATTCTGGGTCCAGCTTGCCTTCACCTGGGACTCTGGGACGTTGCTGGGAGAGACTGGGCGTTGTTTCGTTTTGGATGTCTGTATACCATGTGTGTGTCTATCTATACCTTACATGTATATGTATATAGATATATATATATATATTCATATTCTATACATATATATATAATATATAACTGTACGTATATAGACAATAACACAATATGATGATTATCTAATTCTTGAATGTATATTGCCTTCTGCTCCTCTGACTCTTGACCCAAAAAACATTGAAATCACACACATCACACAAGAAACTTCCAGTGATTCGCTGTGGATCACTTTGGGACTAGCTCAACTGCTGTGTGGCAGGCAACAACTCACCCAAAGAGCAAGACAAACCATTCCGAGCAGCGCGTCTAATCATGGATTTGTGTCCGTGAAGAGCCAGCACTGGCCTCAAAGCGTTCATCGTATGAATTTCAATCCATTCCACTTTCGGTTTGCTCCCACAGAAGCGGGTCAAGTTGCACTGAAGCCACGCTTGTCATCATTGTCAAATCGTGAAAAAAATATCCTTGTTGCTGGCGTCCACTTCCAGCAGAGCTGCTTGGCAGTGGCAAGGTCCATGACATAGAGATGGCCGGTATTGCTTCCAACCACCATCTTCTCCTGGCACCGGACACGGTCTTGGCGAAATTCACAACCAGGAATTGGGAGGCACCATTCAGAACTACCGAACAGGACCATTTCTTGGCCAAAGCTGATGTGTCAAATTGTGTTTTGATGTGTTTTGTTTGTTTTGTTTCATTGATTTCTATAATTTTGTAAGTTGTGCACCTTGCACAACCGACTTCCATTGCATCTGCCGGCTCAAAACATTGTTTAATGCTGGATGATCCTGGTCTGTATCCAGAGCAAAACAAGACTTATTCGCGCAACTGCTGGTTTCGAAGTTTTTTGGAAGCGATCAAGTGTCTATTGCCGAGGCCCCACCAACCTAGTTTGACGGCAATTTCACAAAGCTCCCAATCCCGGTCTGGAGGCCTGAAATGTGTGCATCATTTTGCATGTATATATTCTCAAATAGTAATAATTCATAGTATACATATATCATACTGTATCCCCAGGTACGAGTATCCCCAGGTATCCCCAAAAGATTGATATATATATATATATATATTGATGTCCTTTCAAGGCAACTGACGGCTGCAAACAAGCTGCCATTTCGAAGGACGCGTCCAAGGCTCCAAAGCAGTCGCTCACCTTGCCACTCACAACCTGGACATGGACGTGACATGGTCGACATGGTCGACATGGTCTACAGCATCTCCTCGGCAGCCAACGAATCAATACGAATTATACAAGTTAGATATATTAATTACATGTGTATATATATATATATACGTATATATATACCTATTATAAGTTATTATGATATATTATACTTATTTGATCTTATTTGGATGTTCTTTACATGTGAATTATAACGAAGCCTTCGCGGAATTCTCCTGAAATGTCCGGTACTATACTGTAATCAGACCACCATCATCAACGATGTTTTGCTGGGGCCATAGGATCCTCCCCAATCCTCCCCACACAGCGCGTCTCCGACCCTCGGAAAAAAAAGCTCGTGGATTGGCTGGTCATTCCTCGCTGTCATGACACAGCATGGAAGTCTTCCGCGTTCGAGACAGGCTCCATTTTGCTCAATCTGTGTCTTGTCTGCTGAACCATCCAAATCTGTGCAAAACTCCGATGAACGAATTGAATCAAATACTATCAAGCAAGCTTTGACATGTGTTCTTTGTGGATTACCATGGATTACCCAAAGGATCCAAACCTCCAATTTATTTTGCGACTTGGCATCTTCCAGTCGTAGAAGCACATCCTCGAATCCAACCCTGTAGAGACTGATCGGAGTGACTTCCTCAAACCAACGGAAGGGGTTCACACAGCAAGTCTAAATGGCCCCGTGAGTGAAGACTTAACCGACTCTGTCTATCTTTGTGACAAGCAAATTGAGTAGAAAGCACTACAGAGACTGAAAGAAAGGATGGACCAATGGAAGCATGTTGATGCTGAGGGTCCAGTCCATGGCAATGTCAAGTGCAGTAAGTTGGTGCATCTGTGGATTTCCTGAAGTGAACAGTTGCAGCACATGCTCACAGGCAATCCCTAGATCCATACGGATACCCCAAAACCATAGTTGATCAATTGTTGATGAGCATTCTGCCCATTGAAATGGTCATTGATCTCCACTTGTGTTCCAGGCACAAAAACACAGCTGAGTTTTGCACGGATACAGGGAGGAACCTGTCAATTTGGATCCAACAAATTGGACATGTGACGTGCGCAACTGGATGATCCTGTGGGATGATTGTTATGAGTTGGGCCTTAGTGTCGTCCCTGCCAAAGAGGAATGCCCGCCCCGAGGAATCGATCGCCAGCACCTTCAATTTTGGGAGACATCCAAGATGAAGAATGGGATGGTTTCACCAACAAAAACCAGGGTTTTACCGTGTTTTAACATGGTTTAACATGGTTTAACAGTCTAACCAACAGATTCTGCAGAATAAACCACTAAGGGTGATATCACCGCCAGAAATGGGAGACAGTAGTCTGATACTGACATGACCAAAATTCTGTGGGTTGATGAAAACTTGTGACCCATCCCCATGCTGGATTGTTCAATCTTGATGTGTGGACAAACCAGTCAGTTCGCACAAACCCAAAACATTCTGCCCTCCTTGGGCAGGTAGATGCGGTTGCAGTCAAGCTGCAAAATGCTCCCAATCATCTATGGAGTTGTAGTCCTTGGATTCAGTCCCATCACGTGGAGGCACACCATCTAACGGAATCTAACACTTGTCCTTAAATGTATCCAACCCATTGTTTCACCATGTTTTACCATGTTTTACCAGCCATTACCACCTCACTGGGGTCAAGATTTGAGGCCCTGGACTCCGAGAGATCCGAGAGTCAGCTTCCGGGATCATGAAAGAATTCTCTCGCACATCCTTCTCTTGGGCAGCCGATAGCCTCATCTTACCACCGTGATGCTTCAACACGAATTAGGGAGAGAATGATAGAGATAGTGATTTCCATCTTGGCTTTCGGTAATCCCCATGATGCTTGGTAGTGCAAATGACCCATTTTACTATCGAACAATTGTCAACCAACATTAGTTGCAGTGTCATATATATATATACGTATTGTTTGAGGCGTTTTTCATCATGATTGCAGTGCAGCCAATGGCATTTCAATGCCGCAACTTCGCCGAGGGACAACGCGATGTTTTCGAACCAACCTTCGCAGGTCCTAAGCTTAGATGAAAAGAAGAGTAGCTGCAACGTGCTGCAACCATCATGTGGGGTCCTGCCACTGGGTACTCCAAAGATGGGATGGTTCATTGTGCAGGAAAAAAATGCTATATTCTTTCCAAACATTGATTACACAAGGACCCCTACTGTTGCTCTAAAATTTTGACCCATTCCCATCCTCAACATGAAAATAGAAGAAAGAGTATGGAAAATCTGGTGGTTTCCAGATCTTTCAGGAAACTAGTTCTTTAACTTTATAGTTCTTTAAGATGTTTAATGATCGTTAAGTGGGCATCCTTTGCAATTATCCGTGGGCAAAAAGAACTTGGCATCCAACATCTTCTCGGAGAGAAGAGTGCGACCTTTGCGACAATCCTCAGGATCCAGTCATATCAAATCGAAACACCCCTGTGCGACATACACGTCCTTGTCACTTGTCCTTGTCCTGAAATCATGTCACCACTGGAGAATGTTGCATATCAGTCCTGGTAATCCAATCAACCCACTGCCTCAAGTTACTCAAGTTTTCCACAGGATACTGGCATCGCTGGCCTGGGATTTGTGGATTGTAAAGCTTAATATCGACAAGCATCAAGCAGGTGGTGATCCGGATTGCCATATCTTGATGGGAAGAGTCGGATATCTTCATCACGGCACACCTTGGCTCAAGCCAGACCCAGGCGTTGAGAATACTGCTCTCTTTGTTTTCAACGCATCCCTACCACCTGCTGCAGTAAACGCACAGTTTAAAAGAGTACAGATTGTTTTGTTTGTGAATGTGCATTACATATGTATTTATATTATATATATATATTATACCGTGTGTATATGTGTATTATATTTAGGTATGTATACAAGCTAGGCTTATGATGGTTGTGTGAAAAGCTGCTATATAAACAGTTCATGGCCCGCAGCCTTGATTCATCTGAGTTTGGCATAGTTTGCCCGTGGAGTTCCTGGGGCTCGCGCGTTCGCGCATGCTTCGAGAATGGTCTCCTTTTCATCTTCATTGCTGATGATCGACATCCTCTCTTCCTGGAAAGGGTAGTTCAACAATTCTCAAGATCATGGTCGCAGCTACGACTTTCTTCCCGGTAAACCCCATACATCAATGCATGACGGTCAGTACAGTCAAAACAACCGCAATGAATCTTGAATATCTTGAGTTATGTTTCATGTTACTTTCAGATGCATATTGGAAAAATATCTCAAGATTCCCAAGTTCTTTTTTTCGTTTTTCATATTTTTTCCGTGGTTTTTATCTGACTGTCGACTCTTCCGGAATCGGTGAATCCCCATCCTGAGAATCTGACCAGATATTTGCGGGTCATCCATCGCAGCTTCGCACCATAGGTGAAGCCCTTGGCCAGAAAATATTCGTAGTACTGCGGCATTGCAAGGCCTGCAGCTTGGCATCCAATGGTCCAATGGGCATGGGAAAGTAATGGAAAGTATATGGAAATCATGGGGAATGGTTGGAAAATATGGTGGAAATAATAGGATGATATAATATGATATAATACATATAATTAATATGGGACATGCTGGTTTGGTTTCTGGACCTCAGTGTTCAATGGAGATAAATGAGTTTTATGCGTGGACAGCATTGTACATCAATGCTCGGTATCCGACCAGCTCCACATTGAGATCTTGGGTCCCGCCTTCCAAAAAATCAGCCACTTGTTGAAAGCCTGGCGTCAGTGTGATGCAGATCGTTAACGATCGGCAAAAAATCATGGAATATGATGGAATTAGTGGAAGGAGTGGAAGGTTGGTTTTCTTGCGTGCTTTGTTTTCATTGTTTGTTTGCACTTTGATGCCAAGAAACCCATTTGCAGCACCTCCCACTTTCGGTCCGATTCATCAAGTGCATCCAAAGCGGGGTCCTTCCAAAAGAGCCTTGCTGGTCGCTGGGATGACTTTGCCCAAAAAATGGACATGTTGTTGCAACACCTTTATCTTTTTGTCCATTGGGAGCTTGCTATCACAGTTCCTTTGGTAGCAACCCCTTGAGTGTTGGAATTAACTCAAAGCTGCAGTGAAGCTTTATGCATCAAGGCTGCCCTTCGCGGCGAAGCCGACTCTCCTTCCTTGGCACTGGCAGATCGAGAAGGGGCAACCAGAAACCCCACAAGCTAAGTTCCTGGCTGCATGTCCAGTTCTTTCTCCCAAGCTAGGCCTGAATAAAGAGTGGGCAGCTATTGTGCAAGATTCTGACAAACAGAGTTGCCCAGTGCAGAAATCATCTGAACTTTGAACTTCAGACTTGAGAGTCCGCTGAATCTAATGGCACTTGCTGGACATGTAGTAAACGCAACGTTGTGTCGAACATAAAATACTGTAGCAGCTTTAAGCGTTTTTGCTGCCACCAAGGAGCGACTGTACCATTCCTGCCTTTCTTCAAGTGTGATGTCATCCTAGGACTTCGAAATACTTCGCATCAGGCCCAAGCACAGCATAACAACAATACGTATAGTAGTACAGTAATAATAAGTACGATACTAATGATACCAATAATAATAATAATAATAATAATAATAATAATATATAATAATATATAATAATAACAATAACAATAATAATGACAATCATGATATATAGTAATTATATGTGTACAATAACAATACAACCAATAAGAATACTGATATCAATTATAGTTGCAATAGTAATCATATGTAATCATAATAATAATGGGGAAAAAATGTGTCTGGCAGAACTTCCACAGCGTTCTTCAAATTCTCGTGTCCTTCCTGGATCTTCCTGGGATGTGCCCAAGCGACCTCAGGATCTCGTTGCATGTACACATTATCATTGTGCGGCATGGCCTTGGCTCGGAGGGCATCGGATGAGGGCATCAGCTTCAGCAAATATTCCATTCCATAAGACACACATACCCACCCACCTACATTACATTACATTACATTACATTACACTACATTACACTACATTACATTACATTACATTACATTACACTACACTACATTACATTACATTACATTACATTACACTACATTACATTACATTACATTACACTACATTACACTAAATTACATTACATTACATTACACTACATTACATTACATTACACTACATTACACTACATTACATTACATTACATTACACTACATTACACTACATTACATTACATTACACTACATTACACTACATTACATTACATTACACTACATTACATTACACTACATTACACTACATTACATTACATTACATTACACTACATTACACTACATTACATTACATTACACTACATTACACTACATTACATTACATTACATTACACTACACTACATTACACTACATTACACTACATTACACTACATTACATTACATACATATATGTCTGCATACATATATGTATGTGTGTGTGTGTTTATGTACTTACATAATATATATATACACACATATTAAGTAAATACGTGCATAATCTTAATGTATACTTTACAGCGATATAATTACACACATGCGGGATAATTTTCCATAGATTGCAATACACACTACATAGTTTCATTCTATATACTAGTACATAGAGATACCTGCTTTTACAGCAATTGCATGCGAACACGTGGACGCTGTCGGCACCAGGCTCTTCCAGTCGAGTCGCTACAGTAGGCTGAGAGGAGGATGTCCAGTCGGTGTCCAGTCGCAGCGCAAAAATATCACAAGGATGGCAGATTATTGCTATGTATCGGCACGTGATCCACAGCAAAATAGAGCTGCGTCTAAGCAACCTGGTTGGAGAATGTTGGGGACTATTTCCAGATCGCACAAATGGGACCTCGCACTGTATAGGCCTTTTGGCATGCTACCTTCATTGCCATCCTTGTGATTTGGCCGCTCATTGCGGCAAGCTGCATGCTTGGGCCCAAATGTCCTACACACAATCTGCAGTCAAGCCAGCAATCTGATTGACTAGGCCTTACGTGAAATTGACATGAAATGAAAAAAATGGGCTACCTGAAACAAAGTGCAAACAAAACCCTCTTTGTCACCCCAGTGCCACAAATTGAAGATGAACAGAGACAGGGGTTCTTGGTTGCCTAAAACACCGAGATGGTTTTGTATGATTGTGTCAGCCAGTCATGCTCAATTTCAATCAACTTCTCCCTTTTGACACCATTCCGCAAGCCTACAGCTTAACGACGTTAAACGATGTTAAAGGTAACTGGCACCTGATGAGTTCCAAAAGCGGTCGCCCTTGAGGAAGTTCAGACCTTGACTCCAGGGAGTCAAACTGGGAAATACCAGGGGTAGCACCTGAAGTCAGAAAGAACTGATGTATTACAGCAATAACTGATGGATTACATTACAATACATTGTATTTTATTGTATTGTATTATATTACATTACATTAGATTATATCACATTATTATATCATATTATATCATATTACATTACATGCATTACATTACATATTATATCATATTATAATACCTTATATTAGCATCAAGCCTGATTGAACTTTTATTTCGCAGAGCTGTAGTCTCTCCATGGTACAAATCTTCGGAGCATCTCCTAGACGCATTCTGAGGCGAAAAGAAACATGGTCCAACTGGCCAAATGGGGCAGAAGAATCGCCCAAACATGTGCTGAATCATGCCAAATCTAAGAAATGACACGACTTTTGTTTTGGCTCGCGCTCGCTGGGGCACCGCGACCCATTGAAGAGTTTCTTCACCTCATGGAGCTGTCATTCATATTGTCAGGTCATTTCAAAGTCTGGGAATTTGAATCTTATTTACCATTGGTTACCATTGGTTACCATTGGTTGTCCCAATCCTTCGGCCCTGACATGACTGTTGCTCATCAACTCAGCCACGGAAAGCTCAGTGTCAGGGTCGAAGCTTGAAGCATAGTCCTTCCAACAAGGCATTGGTTTGATTCCCAACAAACACGTGGTGCGTTGCAAATAGAGACTGCAATGGCTATAGGCATCGACTATCTGGACGAGTAGTACGAGTAACTATTCCAGGTGACATACTTCCAGTTGCAAGTCACAAGCCATCACGGAGCCCATCCCAGACAACACATTGCTAATCTGCTGTGGCCGCCCTGAATCTCTCCTCAACAAATGCTTGGAGCCTTTGTGCTCCGCTGACACGCCTAGCCGCGAAACGCTCAGCGCTCCAAAAATCATCCGAAGGACTGAAGCTTGGTACCCAGGAAAGAAACGTCTCTTGGACCCCAAGCACACTTCGAAGTGAGATTCACTGATGCTTTGATAATGAACAGAAATAAACTATATATTATAATATGATGTAATATGTGCTTTCTAGGCTGAGTCTAGCCGTTGAAGCAACTGGGTGATGTGGCGCAATTCCTGACAATGATGCAAAGAGCTGAACAGAATCAGACTCACAAGTCCCTGTGTCAAGTCTTGCCATGTTGTTCCAGGTGCCAGACCGGACAGAAACATAGCCATTCACAATCTTGGCTTCGACTGCCCTGCAATGGAGAATTGGAAATATAATACATCTAGACAGTTGCTGACTGCAGTTTCTGCAGTAATTTTGATGCCACCCATCGTAAGGATGACAACACCAACAACGGGCACTTCACCCCGCTCTGCTGTAGAAGCAAAGTGTCGCAAGCTACGACTTGCTCAGTACGTTGATGTGATTATTCTGATTCCCATCCTGAGATGAACAAGGCCTTGCAAATGACTGGTAGTATCTGGTAGTACACTTGTACTAGACCATACTAGACCATACTCCCACAATGTTAGGATATGTTAGGCATCTTTCATGTTTCCGCTTGTGGATCCCTGCCTGGTGGGATCTTTCACCGCCAAGCGAGCGACCCAGTGCACAGTGCCAAAAGAAGCCTGCACCAGGCTCTAATGCTGAGGTAATCAGACACTCCGGCTATGCTTGTCCTTTTGCATACAGACCTATGGATTCACACATAATTTAACTATCTAAATGAATCTAAATTATATAGATGGCTTCAAAAGCCAGATGCTTGGCAGCAAAACAAGATCAGACCAAAAAAGTGCCAGGAAACTTGAGGCCCAGGGGGTGAACGAAAGCTAAGGTTCATATGAGCCTGGAAACATGATGGGATTTTGATATGCTGAATACATATTGTCCAGAGCAACTATGTTCAACAATGGTGGGTTTACGGAAATTACTGCTGTCTTGGAGTCTCGGCACGCCCCTAGCAGGATTTCACCCGTGACCATCTGCTTCCAACACCGCTTCAAAATGCCCCGGGAGCTTAGCGGGGAGGGGGGATTCACGTGAAAAATCACTGTGTCGGACTCAGACCTGCCCTCCCCTTGCTGAAGCAAGAGTAAACTCCAGATAGCTACCGCAAACTTTCGTGATTACTAACAACAGGGTCAATTCTCTATGCTTTATATTAATGTGTTTTCTTCAAAGAATATGAGTCATTGACATTCATTGACCATGGACAATCATGGACAATGATAATCAATACCAGTCAATACCAGTCATGGCAAATGGGCCATCGTCAGTTCAATATCTTTCAATCGCCTCCTGCAGCTGTGGAAATCGCCAGAAAAGCGCACGCAGCTGGATCCAGCCATCTGTGTGGGGCAAGATGGGCGTGGGGATCCCATTCTGATCATTCTTGGATAATCAAAAGTTTAACAGTTTAACTATGTTTAACTCATGTGCTTTGGTATCTTCATGATTCTTCGTGATTCTTCAAAAAATTAAAACTCCTTAGCAATGCCAAGTCGTTTCTGAGTTCAACATCCTGATTTCTGAAATGATCTCTCTTCTCTTTGTACAGCAATGGCGGCACCGCGGCACCTGTTCCGTAGGACAACTGGTACACCTCTGCCCTTGCAAGCACCTGGCAATCGCAGCTTGGATTTTCTGTCTAAGTGATCCAAGGTGGTCCTCTGGAAGAAGAACATTGTTGGAGAACATTGGAATCCAAGATGAACCTGTTGAAAATGACTGAGGCTTGAGTGGAGGTAGGGTCTAGTCAGTTTCAACATGTTTCAACCATTTTCAACCTAAGGGGTCTGAGTTTGGGTTGAGGGGAAACATGGAACAAAAGGTCAGGTGTCAGGTGAGTTTCCATTGGCCAACAGGCATTAGCCTGGCATTCCAAAACCTTCAACTGGCCGTGGCACATTGGCTCCTGTGATCTCATATATCAGACATTTACCCAAAACATGTTGGATACTGTCAGATCCTATATAATTATATAATGTTATATTTCTAATATATAATTATCATGTTGGATATATTATATATAATTATCATGTTGGATATCATCGGAGGATGACAGCTGCATCTGCTCTGTCGGAACGCCTGCAGAATGAAGCTTAAAACCCAGCGGCATCGAGGGACATCATCGGCCCAGCGTGGCGTGGTCCATCTGTCGAATGAAAGTGGGGAATGGAGGTGTCGGCATTGACTTTGGGTTCTAGATTTGCCATATTTTGGGTAAATATTTGTTGGATACCTCATTTATTGCCATGATTTGCCTATGCAGTTCCAATGTCTTGAAGTTCTTCGACCTTGCAAGAATGTAGAGTGGTTTGCCCTGCCATGATTCAGTTCTATGACAGCTTGCCATCCATCAGTTCTTCCAACCTGGCCATTCCATAGGGCGCAGGATCTGCTTGTGGCAGCTTTTCAGCTGCGATGCCACACTCTGGCGGAACACCTGCCAAGGATTTGGGTCTTGGTGGACCTTGATGTTTTGGTGAATTGCGGGGTACATACCCACAAGAAACCCACAGGGTTTGACGTAAAAAAAAAAAGAAAACTATCCTCCCATCAACCAGTGTGAAGAGGTACACAGGCGCTCTTGCAGTCCGCAATTTTGCGCACCATGAGCTTGCAACTGAACCCAAACACTGGCATTTTTCCAAACGAATCTGACCTATGTAAGTGGCCTGACTGGTTTCAAGATGTTTCAAGAGTCTGGTCCTCCCAGCCTAGGCTGGCAGTAAGTTCTGCTGGCAAAAGACCCATCTTCAAAAGCGCCTAGGCCAATGGGATGCAGACGGGCACTGCCGTTCTTTCCCTCAAATATGTTCCAACATACCTCCACACCTCCACAGAGAATGGGCATAGGTCAAATTTGTGGAGCTCCAAAATCCAGAAAAATGAAAGGTAATCTTTCGATCAAAGTTTTGACTCGTATCATATCCCAAATATCTCCAAATTGTATATTGGCCCATGGCCCATGAGATTCCAAATTGTCGGGCCTCCTTGATGGAGATTCCAATGGCAGCCGCAGAAGCAACTTCTCTTTCTGCCTTGCCATCCATGAAATTTAAAGACGGGCTTTGTTCATGGCCAACTGCGGCTCTCGCGCAGCCTGGGCATCCCCTTCCCTGAGCACTCCACCTGCTCGTCGGCTTTCTCGCCGCCTGATCAAAAGAAATAGCACAGTTCAGGGCAGCATAAGTCGCTGCCTCGAATGTTTATGGACAACACATCAAGGCTGTAGCCTTCTTGCAGGGGCGGCAAGGAAACCTGCACCAACGGTCAGAGTGCTCAACATTGCTCAACTACTATACACTGACCCATTTCCGTGTTTCTGCTGGGCAATAGGCACGCGGGAAATCCCTGGACAACCTCATGGTTTCTCCTTTTTGCTCAAGCATCGGTGCCGGCATTTTGGAGGAGAATGGCTCATTGGCCTTGCTTTCTACTTCCTACACCTGTGACAAGGGGTGGCAGGAATGCTGTATCGAGGAAGCTGTCGTTGGTGTCGCTGTGACGCAGCTTGCAACGACTACGGCAGCAGGGCGAAGAGACAGGTGTGGCCGCGTCCGGAAGCAGCATGTCGGATTCCTGCAGAGCAACAGTTGGGAAAGGAGAACAGCTGCTGCAAAGAAGAAAGGAACGCAGAAAAGGAAAAATGTTTCAGCAAGAAGGATAGACGAGAAAAAAAGGTGAGGAAACGGGACAAACCATTTGCAAACGCTGCAAACACGAGATGCAAAAGTCCTCCCCGTCATCGCCGTTGATCCATTGCACCAGGAGCGTCAAGTCGTCGTCAGCGGAGATACAAGATACAGAGTCCTGCAAGGGCGTTCAAGTTGAAATGGCAGCAGGCTCCAAATCAAAACGTAGCACAAACCGTGAGAAAACATGGTGTATATTTTCATGTCAACAAAGGTCCACGACGGCAATTCACTGCCCATTTTCAGCGCAATGTTGTCATATGCCGCCTGAGATAGCTGCGGGCTTTGGTTCTCAACTGGAAGCTTGTGCGCTTCCCACCCTCTCAAACCTCTTTCCATCACTACCAGTCTTCGTTAAGTCGGACAAGACTTGTCCGATCTTGATCTTGTCCGCCTACCCAAAGAGTGGTAGTGATGGAAGGAGTACTGACAGAAGAATGCAACCATTGGTTTGCCTTTAAATTTGGCACACCACTCCTGCAAATCTTTCAAGAATTCCAAGGCCGGAATCGGAAGGGTGCAGCAATTGTGCCAGCGGCCCTGTCCTCACCGCGGAGATCAACCACGACGATGCTTTCTTGGTTCCTTGGCGATGCGACGAAAATCCCAGGTCGCTTTCAAAAAGTTGCCTGGTGTCAACAAAACAGTGCACGCAGAAAGTACACTTTCAGAAAGGGGTATATCTACAACGGGATCACAAGGTATCAAGGCCTTTTCCCAATCTATTTTTTAAAAAAAATGGTTTTGGAAAAAACAAGCTACAAATTATTACAAATTTGTGGGTTCATGATGCGCTAGGCTGCGCTAGGCAAATACAAAGGACCACATTGATTTGAAATCTGAAGCATTTCAATGCCTTGTCCGTCGGCACACGTTCCTCGATCAGAGGGGCGTCCTTCTTCGCTTCTGGGGGTCCAACCTTCACTGCCACCACCTTGGGCGCTGCGTTGGGACCCGAAATGTTTCGCACAGCTGGGTGTATGCCGCTCCTTTGAAGCAGCAAAGATCTGCTGTGCAGAGCATTCCGACGGTGATGCACTGCACAGCAGATCTTTGCTGCTTCACAGGAGCTGCGTGCACCCAGGCGTGGCGCCGGAGGCTGTGTGACCACTGGAGGCCGCACCACTGGCGCCACTCGGACCATGACGTGCTGGACAGAGGCCCGCACACACATGATTGGATTCTGTGGGGCCGTCGGAATTTGCCTCGGCCAATGGGCTGCAGAAGTCTGCACCCACGACCTTGGTTGCGCCATCTGCATGGGAGTATCAGGCTGCCAAGTGGATATGCTAGGAGGCTGATTGTATCAAGCAGGAATGGCTGCAGCATGCTCCAGCAGTTGCAGATTTCCTGCAAACCAACTTGATTGCCAAAAGCCGTCACTCGCAGAGACTCATCCAGAACTATTGAATCAGCAAACTCAGCAGGCATAATCTTTGCAGTTAGGAAAAGCTTGTAATCTCATCTTGCAGTGAGTGGTGGCAGGTGTCAGATCATCAACACTTGGCACCTCCAGCTGTGCAAGTGCCCCACAAAGGTCTTCCGGCAAGTGGCAGACCTAGCGGTGGACAGGTTCAACTGCGGATTGACCGGCAGAAACACAAAGCTTTTCATGTAGACCAGAATGCAAAAACCTCAAGAAATAAGAAGGATGCATGGATACACCCCGGATACTCCGGTATACACGTAGACCCATAGACAAAACATACATAGATTCTTGGGCTATACATCACCTGTGTCAATCTCGGTTTGCTCCGTGGGCTGGGTCACAAGCCATCACAGCAGGATAAGTGGTGTCTGCCCACCTGGCAGAACAAGCTGCTGACCTATATATTTTCGCTAGACGATCAGCATGGAAGAATCCATAGAGTCTGGAAGGGTTCGTCAATAAATGGTTCAATGGTTCAATATGAGTCATACTGTGTATATTATATATCCGCCGACCCCTGCTGTAGCGGGGGTGCGCGTGAGAAAAGCAACTTTTGTCAAGCAATTCGAAAAGACATGTTGGGTTTGAAGCTAGCTTCTAGGCAGTTCAGAAAGCAACGTTTGGCACTCTGGGCTGCCGGCCGCGGGCCCGATCCGCCCTTCACTGCCATGGTGTCTCAGTGCTGCGGCACCGTCCTTGGACCCGAGCTGTGCCAGACGAAAGCCACCTGCAGACGCAGTAAGCAATTTGGTTCAAAAGACACTGTTTGAGCCAATTGGTCCCAGGGGTCGGCGGCATGGGGGCGCCAGCCCCACTTATTTATATAAGATTATATATATATTATAATGTATTTACGTAATTTAAACATTCTAATATATATCACGCCACAAGTTGGTCAGGGCTTTCCCAAATAACGGTCACCCAAGGTTCACTCTCCACCTGCTAGGGTACTAGTAGGCCAAATCAAAGTCCCTCAACAGGATAACACCATGCTTTTTGGCGCGGACCGTCGCTGCCATATTGGATGCTCTCTCAAACATCAGAATGAGCAGCATAAATTGCCATTCCAATGACTCTCATGTATTGATCAGAATCATAACTCATAACTCGTAACTTACCAATACTCATCAATACAGATCAGAAGTATTCGTGAGTGATCAACAATATATCAGTCATCAGCCACATCGCCAATCACGCAGGGCCCACCACCAGGGATCCGCCAACACTGTGGCCAACGTGTGGAAAAAGGGTCGACCACCGAGGCCCTGGTCTGTCCTTGAGGAGTCGGATCATGTGCTAGCTGGATCTAGCTGGTAGATTTGGATGATTTTGGAGCATGTCTACACCTAATGAATGAGCAATGTTCTGGAGAAACCACTGTAACACAAGAGTTCTGAGTCACTTGGGACCTGATACAGCAAAACTCTCCATGCTTCCCCTGAAACACTGGAAACTCTCAGGCAACTACCCGATGCCACCATTCTCAGTGTCACCCACTGCAGCTTTGCCCCATGCAAGCTGCAGCAACCTTCTCCTCAGACGGTCGACAATCAGCCGCCATCAGGACCCCATTTGGCCCCCTCTGCTGTCGCACTAAGCTGAGAACTCGCCACCCAATGCCGAGCCAGCAGCCTGGTGCGATTCTTGGATCCCGGATGCTCTACAGTGAAGATGGCAATTAAAAACGCAATCGTTTTTTTGAATGAAACTCACCTAGGAAATTTAGAACTTTCATGAAGTGCCACAGTTGATAGTGAAGCTGCGGTGGATTGAACGCAAATTGCCACTCAAGGAGACCCTGTTGCTCACGCCTGGACTTCGAATTGAGGGACATAAAGGACATAAAGCCAAGAAAACCGATAATGAAACCGATCTGTTCTAGTTTCAAGGTAGATATCTCTGTCCATACCTTGTGAACCACTGGTTCAGCATTCGAAATTCATAGAAAATCTATGGCTCTCTTGCGCCCACCTTCACCAAGACCAGCGTGTAGCTTTCGCAGCTAGCCTAAAGCATGCCCAAGCAGTCTAGCAATGACAAATGAGTTTAGGATGTTTAGGCAACTTCGGCCATCATCTGATGATGGATGATAATGATGCTCCATGCATCTGAGATTCTAGTTCCATTTGCACCCCGTGCCTCTCCACCCCAGTCCTCTTTCGAGACACGATGAAGATCTGCAAGTGCCAACACCTACCGTAGCCATAGCAGAGTCGTGATGCCAATCCAAGTCACAGCGGTGCGTCATCTGAATATACATGACATGTCAGGGGTGCATTAATTCAACAAATAGCAACACATGTTTAGCAAAAATCTCAAGAAACTGGACTGCACCCTTTGAACTCACGCCATCTGCCACAGCTTTAAGAGGCATGTTGCAATGTTGCAGAATGTTGATGATTGTTGAATATTGTTGATCTTTCTGTCATCCCAAAGAAGGGGACGCCCACAACACAACGACCTCCGCGACTCCGTCGGGTCTGCGGCAAGCAGCGGAAGTTTGCCTCGGTGCAACAGACAGACAGCGATATCCCTCGTGTCTGTTTCTCCAATTTTTAAAAGGACATTTTACAGGATTCAGTGCGAAATGACTGGGAGTAAACAACAGAAAACACAATCCAGCCCACGACCCACGATTTGCGTTTTATATTGGATTCTTATCGAACATAAAAGCAGGTGTGTATCCCCGCGATCGTTGTGCATCTTGTTCTGAACATGCTATTATATGCACAGACTCTGAATTCAAGACCAAGATCATCGAATATCATTTTGTGGAGAGTTGAATTTTCCAGGAAACTACAGGAATTGGACAGTTGAACAACTTTTTTACTTCCAGATCTTCCAGTCTATGGATGCTGCTTGCCAGAATCTGGCTGAGGCAGTGGCGCCAGATCCATTTTGCCCGGAACCAAGGCCAAGGAATAGGTCACCACGCCTCGATAACGCGAGTCTTGGCATATTGACAAATCATGGGTCTGAGAATAAGATATATCAAAATATATCGAAATCTATTGGAATATATTGAAATCATAGTATTGGAAAGTATTTACAACAGCATTCATAGATCATACAGGTACTTGTGGAGCTCTGGAAGTTAACACTGCCACATCCTTTTAAGGGCACCACGTCCCGTCTGGAAGGCTCGGGCCAAACGGCGCCTGCCAAACCCATACATTGTCTGTGTGTCTGACATCCTTGTGCCACAGCAGCAACTCTTTGTTTGGAATCCCGGAGGCGAGCCGTCACTGATCTCTTAGCCCAGCCTGGCTTTACTTGTCTGAACCATCAGCGCAGGGCCAGAGGTCATGGGACCTTTATCACGGCGGCCATGTGAACGATCAAATTGAATATCTAAAAAAAAAAACAAAGAGGCCAAAGGATGGTGCATTCTTCATCATTAGCATTCTCCAAACTGCCACTCACCAGAGCTCCGGTTGGATCAGGTTTGGATTATCTTTGGGAAGACTCACAGAATCTCCCAGACCCCGCACGATCCATTGGTCACCCCACTGGGCGACAGCAGCGGTTTCCAGCTCCCAACCTGGCTCCCATGTGTTGCCATGCTGCACCCCTCACTGTCCCAAGACATCGCCGGCAGGGCAGGTGCAGCTGGATGCCTCATCAAAGGTTCCACACCTTGGGAGGTGCTCCTTCAGAACCTTCACAGCAAAGAATGATCGATGGGGCCCCCTGCGACCACTGCACATCACCTCCTTCAAACGGCAAGCAGTAGACTGTTGGCTGAACTTGAACCAACTGGTAAGGCATGATAGAGCATTACCAGCTGCGTAACTAGAGTGTTCCACTCACAGTGTTTGCTCACAAACTGGCAGTCGACCTTTAAGCCAACTGGTCTTTCGGAATCATCCTGGCTGCGGTTCACATTCACAGCACATGGTCAAACCTTGACTCAGCAACCTGGGCGGTCTGTCTCCAGCAGGTCACAATATGTTGCTGTTTTGATGTGTTTGACTTCTCCGCATCTACTTCTGTCTCCATTGATATGTAGGATCATGCAGGCTTGTATCATCTTGTATCTAGCTCAAGCAAAATTGTTCAGGAAATATCACGAAATGGCTTCCAAAGAAACAGGCAATAGCTGCAAGTTTGCAGACTGCACCTCGGCACCGGACCTGCTCATAGATGCTGACCAGCCTGCCACTAGAATCACTTGAACAAATGATGTGCTTCCTAGCTATGCGCTGGTTGATTGGTTGGGGATTGAAAGAAATGAAACAAATCATCGGTGGGTAAATCCTCCATGGAATTAAAAATCTTCTGCGGATCTATCCTCCAGGTTCATCCAAGTTCCGAGTCCTTCCCAATGATTACGTAACTTTGATGCTTCTGCAGGATGGCTTTTGAACTCGTCTTACCACAAGCGCAAGGTGCACCAAGCTGAAATGTATACAAATGGCGTTTGGAAGTGGAGACCTAAGAGTCCCAAAATTCTGCCATCTCCAACCATTGACAAGTCAATATGAAGCTCTCCATTACAATATTCTTGCGCGTTCAAAACTCCACAAACATGGGTCCTCCTAGTGAACCACAGAAGAATAGGTTCCTTATCTCCTGCATCCGCGGAGATTCCCGCCTGCTGGCTTGCTCAGGACGCAAAATCCTGGCCCTTGAAAGATCAAGGCCTCGAGGCACAAGAAAAGGCAATCCATTGGGCAACCATGGCAATGAATGGAAATATTCGGAAATATCAATCTCTGATGCCTTCAAGCCGTGATGCAAAGCTATCATGGTTACTTTCTTATCAGACAAATTAAAAGAAATGGAGAACTCAGCCATTTGAGCCCACAGCTGGCGCCACTTTTGTCTGCAGGAATTGTTGCCTGGCCAAACAACCATTGATATCCATTGATACCATTGATCATTGATGCCATCAAGTCAAAAGAACCCACTGCATCGAACAGGCATCTATGATACTATGCACATGCAACATGTGCTTGTCATTGGGGTCATGATTTGGGAGTTTTTGCTTCCCGAAGTAGTTTGGAGAAATGTGCCTACCGCAATCCTCGCTGTTTGTAACTTTTGCTGGTTTCTCAGCTTTGCCGTGGATCTGTCCCTCAAAGTTGGTGAATTTCATTGCAAATCGCAAGCACATCAGCCACTATACTACCTCAGTATGTCCATCATTTTCCATCTATTTCCCATGATTTCATGATGTTATTATCTGCTTACATCTGCTTACTACATTTTGATGTTGATGCCTCCTGCGGCAAAGCGCCTGCTGGGCTCAGGCTCATCAGGCTCTTCAGACTCTTCACCTCTGTGCAGCATTTGTTGAAACTGTGGCTGAAGGATGCTGAAGGCCTAAGACCTCTGAGACCGAAGCATGTCAAATAGATTCAATGCACTTTTGGCACTATGACAGGAATATGAACTTGGCCTTTCTCTCATTTATATTCATTTATTAGATATGCCATTCCAGTACTTCCCTATATTGGTGAAATGACCACTCGTGGGGATTCTATGGCCCCAACAGTCACTGCTTGTCATTGTCGAGCGATCGGACGTGGAGCATGAGGTCACGGAAGCACCTACTAAGGGCTAGAGCGGCTAGATTGGTAGGTGCTGGTATGGTTGGGCTTCACACGAAATTCCAGATCTTGTGGCAAGTCTTTTTGGACACAAAACATTGCAGGACACCACAAAAGCTTGCACGTGCACATCGTGAAGACATCCCACATCTGCAACAGTGAAGAAAAACATATCTAATGTGTTAGTTTCAGAAAACTGCAAAAAAAATATTTGGAATTCTTGGGGTTGCTGGAGATCTGCTCTGAGACGGAGACCACTATCTTGGCTGCCGCTTCCTATCGGGTCAAAGCGACCCGTGACGTGTTTCTGAATGGAGTCAGGAAGAGAAGAGCAAATGCAAGTCTCAGGTCTCTGTACTTAGATTTGGAACCGGATTCGGAGTAAGAAACTTCGGACGGATAAAAATAAAGACATGTCGACACGGGACATGCATGGCATGAATGGAAGCCTGGATGCTGTTTACAAAAACCAGCTTGCTTGGTGCACTCTTACTTGCATTGTTTGGAGTCTTGGCAGTGTGGTTAGAAAGAAGTCTCGGATTTGGATATGTACCCCCCACGCTCCCAACCTGCATCACTTGAGCATTCCTGCAACCGCGAACGCACCAGGACCCCCATGGTCGTCTTCCAATCAGCAGAAGCTGAAGTGTCTAAATGTTTCCCACAGAGTTATTAAGTTATTACACAAAGTTCCAAAGAGTTGGCATAGACTTCGCGTGACATGACCCCACCTGAGCACCAGATGGTTCCTGCTTCTCTTCATCCCAGTGGCCAAAAACCTTGAAATGCCACCGTGGTTCGACTACACTGCACAACATATTTGGGATTATCCACCATTACGAGTATCATCATTCATCATTCATTCATTTCATTCATTCATTTCATTCATTCATTCATTCATGTGTTCATTCAGTCAGTCAGTCATTCAATCAGTCAGTCAGTGAGTCAGTGAATGAGTCAGTGAGTGAGTCAGTGAATGAATCAGCGAGTGAGTCAGTGAATGAATCAGCGAGTGAGTCAGTGAATGTGTCAGTGAGTGAGTCAGTCAGGCAGTCCGTCCTTTCATTCATTCACTTCATTCACTTCATTCATTTCATCCACTCCAGTTCATTCCATCTCATTTCATTTCATTTCATGTCATTCATTATTCATCAAAATCATCATCAGCTTGCAGGACTCACCCCCTGTGGCGTACAGATCTGCTCACGGGTGTGCTTAAAGTGGTCACTCCAGGTGCCGCACACACCCTCGGACTTGGCACAAGAGTCCACTTTTGCATGGTATCATCCTCAAAAAAAAAATGCAAGAGAGAAAAGTCTCTTCTTAAACTTCTCTGAGTACAGTATATACAATCTTTCAAGAAACCTCAACAATCAAATCAGGTTGAAACGCATTTAGAAAGTGAAAAGCACAAACATCATTACGGACAACGGCTTTGATCGTGCTGAAACAAAAATCAGGGCAACCAGCGAAAGGTTTCCACTGTGAAAACTATATTATGGATGAGTGGGTCTGCACAAGACCTATATAGATTCAACTGCGTCCTCTCCAGTTTGACACAAGAAGCAGGCGTCACTTGTCTGACCTTTTGAGTTTCGATGGTATTCTGTAGCCCGTCCCTTTCCCTTGCAGCCTCATCAGGCAACGAACCTCTTCTTTGACTTCCCTGTCATGCGATACAGCCCAAACGTAGAGTTCAGCCACATGTTCTCTTCACGGCCATGCCAAATCTCTGGAAAACAGCTTCTAAGGTGACTCTCGAGATATCCTGTGACTCCTGTGGCTCTATGAATGCTCTGTTCAAGTGTCAAAGACAATCATGACAGTCATGACAGTCATGACCCGTGCCTTTCTTCAGGATGATACCTGCCACTAGCAGCACTGAACAT